CATACTTTTATTCTCAAAGAATTGCTAAAATAAATTGTTTTACTTTTTACACAGTATTTCTACTTGAAAATTTTTATTCAACTTCTTCTAATAGGAAGCTTTTGAAATCTGGTTGTATCTGAAGTGCATTCATTCCACCTCAGGCATCACAGAACCAGTCTCCCTATAACTGTTAGAGAAGCAAAGACTGGTGAAAGATGAAGGTGGTTTAATTTATCAATTATTTCAATTAATTTTTGACCTGGCTTTCAACTTACCTAAAACCATTTGGACAAAGAGTTGGCAATGAACAGCTTTACTTACTGTGAGCACCTAAAAACTTCCTTGCCTAATAAATCTTTCTTTTCCAAGCTCTTCAATTGTCTGATAAATATTTCTTTTCCAAGCTCTGTGTTTTCCTATCAAATATTAACCCACAAAGACAACAACAGAGTTGATAATGGATTATATATTTTGATCATCAAATCCATGTTTTTATGTCCATAGTCTTCTTATCTCCCCAGGAAAATTCCTACTCATCTAAGCATTAAAAAGTTGTACAATACAAGCTAATGCAATCAAAACACCATGAATCACTTGAGAATATCCTATGCAGAACACACTGAAAAAAGTGAAAAAAAAAACTTACCTTCAAACTGAGGCAATTACAACTAACAGCTCATGCTTTCCATCCTTCACTGACAGGTATATATCATACTATCACACCTTCTACAAGTTGTCTTCCAAAAATACAACTCTGACTTTATAAATTGTTCAAAAGCCTAGTGGAAAGGTGATGAAGTGATTTGCTTCCTCTAGATCTCATACACTTTGTGTGAAGCTAATTTAGCTGGCAAAAAAAATTATCTGTGCATAAGTGTGGCCATAAGAAAATGTTAAGTCTTCAATTTGGTGCACAGTTGCCGTAAGCATTATTTTCAATTCTTTAAATGGACTTGGAGTCTGAATTTCTCTTACTAGGGATAAAAGGTATCCCACAGAGAAGCTGGTAGATGGCCCAGAAAGGCTGGAATCCTGTGCTGGAAGCCTGTGCTAGGGCAGGTTTCTGGGAGGACCTGTGAACCTGCATAGAGAGGAGCCCACGCTGGAGCAGGCTTGCTGGCACAGCTTGTAGCCCCATGGGGGACCCACACTGGAGCAGTTTGTGAAGAACTGCAGCCTGAGGAAAGGACTCAAGCTGGAGAAGTTCATGGAGGCCTGTCTGCCATGGGAAAGACCCTGTGATGGAGCAGAGGCAGAGTGTGAGGAGCACCTCCCCCGAGAGGGAAGGAGGAGCAGAGACAATGATGAGCTGACTGCAGCCATATTTTCTATGCCCCTGTGCTAATGGGGTGAAGAGGGAGAGAAAATTCGGAGTGAAGTTGAACTGGGAAGAAGGGAGGAGTGGAAGGAAGGTATTTTTAAGATTTTGGGGGTTTTTTTGACACTACCCTACTCTGATCTGATTGGTAATAAATAAAACTAATTTCCCCAAGTTGAGTCTGTTGTGCCTATGACAGTGTGCTGAGTATTTGATTCCCCTGTCTTTATCTTGGCCTAAGAATTGGATTTTTTTCTCCACTGTCCAGCTGATGAAGGAGAGTAATAGTGGCTTGGTGGGCTTCTGGCATTTAACCAGGGTCAGCCCTCCACACTACTGCTCTGATTAAGCAGTACACATAAGACAGATAAAAAACTCCACTTAACTGACGACAAAATTCTCTGAAATGCCTATTTGAGGATATATGTGGCCACCAAATGAATAATAAATTAACAGAATAAAAATTAGAAGGAAGATTTAAATAAATAATGGAGTTTGATCCAATTAATCTTCAAACTGGATGTTAAAAATGCCAACTAATACCATCAGATACTCAGACGTTCTACTCCAGGTGCTGGGGTTTCAGGTGATGAATACTAGCTCTGGATATTGTAGCTGGGGCAGCAGCTCTTAAACTTGTACCTCAAACAGCAGCCACATTTACAAGCAATGAATGTGTGCCTATGACTCTGTCAGGATCACAACCTAGAAATCATCAGTAAACTTTTCAGGGAAAGAAAGTTAAGATATGTCGTTTAACAAGAACATGATCACGGCAATCATGTTTATTACAGTCCCACAGAGAATTATCTGCAACACAACGCATACACTATTCCTTGAACAAGCTAAACAAACTCTGATTGAACATGCCTTGGAGTTTTTTACCAGAATCACAGAGGATGATAAATTCAAAATGTTTAACTTGACTTTGTATGAGTTTATTAGAGTTTAATTAATTTAAAAGGTGACTAGTCTGCTTTGTCAATGTGAGTTCTCCTGAAAGCAGACAAATGCAGAGGAGGGGAAAATCTCTCTCAAGGTCAATGGAAATAATCAGAAGATGATTCAGAGCAGGAGTCTAAATTTAGGTGCTCCAAAATATTTCTTGAAAAAGCCACTTCCTGTTTCTCAGATGAAGTTAGATTATATGGCTCACCCCACCAGGCACCTTGCTGAGTAACCTGAGGATTACTATGGTTTAAGTTTCTAAGACAGGAAAGCATAAAACTCCAATCACTTTCCAAGATTACATTCAGATCTTAGATTTGGATTTCATTACATTCCAGCATTTCAGAGAGCCCACAAAATTGGTTTGGCTGTATAATTAATAAGAAGGAAAGAAGTCTTATCTTACTGTGCTTAGACTGACTGATTTAGATTTCCTACACTAATCTTCCCTCAATGCCTTGAGATGGCTGACCTAGAACAGAGACCAGATAGAGTTAAAGAATAAAGTAGGTATTTATTAAAAGGCCTCAATGGACACATCTTGGGCAGTACAAGAGCCCAGCCAGGGCTACGCCCAAGATGGACTCAAAATGGTCACAAAATGGACAACTGGTCACGGGTTGTCACACTTCTATAGGTTTTGGTCCATTAGCATATTGGAAATAATTGTTCAATTATAACTTTAGGTTATGAAGTCCCATCCTTCTTGTTTTACTCTCTTCATTCCACCATTGTTTATGCTCTTGGTCCTGAAATTTGTATTGATTGTCCTTGGTCCCAAGCTAGAAAAGGAATTGTTTTGTCTAGCTACTCTGTGAAGAAAGCTTACCATCACTTAATATGAAGATCAGAACCACACACTAAAGCAGCACTGAATCTGAAAAATATAAAAGCTAAAACTTAAGGCATCACCATAGTACAGTGATGCAAGGACTTTAATAATGGAATCTTAAGGCTATTTTACTGAGAGACTTTCCAAATACCAGTTTCAATAATCCCATCATTGATATCCTGAGTTACATCAGCTCACATCTAGGAGGCACAATCAGCATTACAGTATTCATAGGCTAATTTAAGGCTCTTTTCTGTGCCAAATAGGCAAGACAAAGTGTAAATTAGGTATTAAATATTACTTAGCAATAGTGAAAACCAAAGAAATTATAAGAATAAAAGAAAAAGGAATTTACACTGCAAAACTGTCTCCAGAAAAATAGAGGAAGAAGAAAATGGGAAAACTGGTAAAGGGAAAGCCACTGTAATTGTGTCTCAATGGCTCACCTTGTTAGCATCCATAACGATGGTGAGGCACTCAGTCTACATAAGATCTATGTAGATCTATGTAAAACAAAGCTTTTTTATCCCTCATGGGTAATATTGGCTTTTCCTCTCAGAGAAGATGACAGGAGAGCTGCAAATTATATTTCAATAGAATCTTATCACTTAAGTGCTTAAACAACAACATTGTACTGCAATTAAAACTTCAGAAGATAACACATCACTGAAACAAGAAGCTTTTGTAACATCAAACCCATGTTTTCTTCCTTTGCTTTTTTATTAGGTAGTTGTTTAAAATAACAAAGAATTCAGTGAACACTCAATCCAGCAAAATGACCAAAATGACTGCATTTTATGTAATAATGATCTGTTTTGATTACAGGAGAGTTGGTCATTAGTCTTCATGATATGGGAGATATAAAGGAGGTGCTGTGAGTCAGGAGAGAAAATAACAGGCCCTTCAAGGCAGCTGGACTAAAACTGTGCAGGGTAATACTTTCTGTCTACCAGCATCCTGCCCTGCCCTCCAGCCTTTCCATAATCACCAGTGCTCGGAACCCACGTCTCGCTACATCAAAACCTCAGAAAAATGGAAGAATTCTATCTCTTACATATTCTCTGAATTCTGGTATTGTCCATTTTGGATGGAGAATGACATTCTAGCAAGAACACCTGTTCCTTGCCATCTTTCCACTCTCAGGTTTCCTGGTGTATAAAACCACACAGTTCATCAGCTGTCAGAACTTCTGCATTAAAAGTTAATTCCAAATGGGCGTTTGTATTCACATACATGTGATGAAGAACTTTCAGAACCTGAAAGGAAGGAGCAGGGTGAATGTTAGTAACACCATTTTCATATGATAGGAATTTTTCACTTTTTCCTGAACTGGATCTTGGACTGAATCCCTGTACTCAGCCAACAGTTTACATTAATTTATTCTTGTCTCTGAGCTAGTTTAGCCCCAAATTTCCATTAAGCCTAAGGATAGGAAAGGAGACTCCCAGTCTGAAATAGCCATATTCTGCACTCAATTCTAATAGAAAGTGTTAAATGGAGAAGAAAATCTATGCAGCTGCCAACATTTAGTAGCATAAATAAGCAAGCATTATGTATTAGAATTATTTGTCTAGTGTTTTGGCAGGACATCCCATGATGTCTCTCTAGAAGTCTAATTAAAACATCCTGCTTCTCCTTCCAGAACAAAGTATTACTTAGTCTATCTGTCAAATTAATGTTCATTACTTCATGCCATGATTAACTGTCCGTTGGGACATGCAAACAGCACATAAAATGTAGAATTTGCTTGCAACATTTGCACTTTCTATTGCTCATCATGCGGCTGACCGAGTGGCCTCAGCAGTGCGTTATTACCCTGCAGCCTCAGGCAAAGGCAGCATGAAGAATTTGTTATGCAAGAGCCGTGGCAATTTCTTTACAATGTGAGATGGAAAACATGCTGCATAGGCAGGAGGGTACCTTACCCTTCCCATTCCCTGCAATTCCACCAACAAACACAGAGTGACACACTGCTGGCTGCTCCTCCAGCTGAACATCCTTCCACACAGAAAGGACACACAGGGAGCACCTCTCCTCTCCTGTTGTAGTTCTTATCACAGAGACACAATTATTCACAAGATTTTTTCCCCCCTCCACGTCCTTATTCCCTTTAATAGGAAAAAGTAAGCTTGCTCTTTCTTGGCAGATTTGCCTCAGCAAAGCTAATGTTGCATCAAGCAATACAGTCCCTTAGAAAATAGTAAGAGTTAGTGCAAAGAAATTAAAGCAGTTACCTCAGCGAGTGAGAACAAATCCTGTTCTGACAGACAGCCATACAGTCCAGCAGGATCGTGAAAACCCAAGGATACAGAACAGTTATCAGAATTTTGCTGCTGCTTTGGCAGAGTGGATTCTGCAATCAGTTGTACAGCTGGAATTCAGAAAAATACAAAGTCAGTCTCCTAAAGTAATACATTGCTTCCAAAGAAATAGTTTTATGAGTCAGAGAATAGAAATAGCTTGGCTGCTTGTGGATTTCTGTTTTAGTGAAGAGTATTCATTCTGATTTTCCTAAGTCTAACAGGAACAAGTTCATGATCCTCAGTGCTTGTCTTCTGATTTACCCAGTTAGCAGGAAACAAACTACTCTGTAGAAGGCTGATTGTGAAGCTCATAATACCTCAAGGCATACCTTGCTGTTTTTCACCCTTCTGTCAGGATAATGGAACAAGAGAGAAGAGCACAAAATCCTTTATAAATCTTCTGATCAGTCACATTCAACCAGCTTTGTTATTTCCAATATACTCCAATAAAGGTAAGGATGTGCTGCCTTACATACAGCAGATGTGGATGTTCCTTGAAGAAAGGTGGGAATAAATACACTTTTCATTTGGTCTGTGTACTAACCAGCGTTTCTATGTTTCAATTTTTCACACTGTCTGGAATTAAAATAAATTAGTGATTAAATTTAGCTTATGGGCAACCAATTGTTGTGAGTATACATGCATGCATACATGTACCTGCATGCATTTAATGTGTATAGCACAACTTGCACTATACTATACATAAAAGCCAGAGCACACAAAAGTCACATGTAGCCATGCACATTCCAAATCCACACCTTCTTATTTATGTGTTTTTGTTCCCTTACTCTTCTTGCCTCACTATAAATATCTGACCAACAATGAATTTGCTACCAAATGCAAATTCTTCTTACTGTGCACAAACAAACGCTTTTGTCACTCTAGATTGTCACTGTGCACACCTTTTCCAAACAGGACACACATTTCCTTATGGACATATTTATCATACTGAGGAACATTACTGCCATGATGAAATGCCTTTGAACTACTGAGTCATTGAGAGCACTTTATCAATGCTTTAACATATTCAAAAATAATCTTCCTGTCTGATACAAACAATACATTGGCAATTATCTTGATAAAAAAAATCTTAAGGGGAGTGATTAAAGACAATGCATTTGTTTACTTTGAGAATAAAGTTCTCTTCTGTCTGCAAGTACAGCTCCAGGGTAGATTGTTTAACCATCTGCTCAGACTGTAGGTTCCCCATCCTCAGAACATCCAGAGATGGAAACAGGTCACTGATCACGCCTTTGAAAATTGGGATATCATCTGTCACTATTTTATGCAAATTGAAGTCTCTTAAGACACACATAAGCACATGGAAAAAGAGGGTAAACAATGCATCACAAGAACATTAAATAATTTTTTTAGGAGTCTGTTTTTATTCAAAGGAAAAACACCAGAAACATGTTTTACCCAGTCCTCAGGGATGTTCTTATCTCCTTGTTTCAGAAATTACCAAAACTGACTTGATAGCATGAAGTCCCCAGTCATAACAGCCCTACAAAGACATTTTAACTGATCATGTTAGCATATGAAATAAAACTAAGTGGTAATGTTCATTAAGAAAACAATCGTTTTACACACAGAGTAAAAAAAGACATTTTTATTCACTTGTAGTCTTTCAGTGGCTTTTGGTCAGCATTAGACGTTGACTAAAAAATATAAAAGGCTGAAATATATATATCTGTATATCTATTTAATTTTCAGTATTTCACCATTTGATTCCCTATTCTTAACTGGCTACCAGCTGAGTAAAGTTTGAAAACATATTCTGCAGCCACACCTAGGAATTCAATATAAATACAGCCTATTGGTAGTATCAATTCCCTCCTCCCCCCCAAAAAAAACCACCAACCCCAAAATAAGCAACAAAACTGGAAGCAAATTCACAACTTAAAAATACACCATTTTAAGTTGACAGATGTTATGCATCTATCCTCTTCCATGACAGTGGTAACTCTAAGTGTGAATCAAATACAGCACAAAAAATAATTTTGGAAAAAAGTAATTTTCAAACTCAGGACAGGTCATGATCAGTAAGAAAAAATTTCTGAAGTAAATTATTATTTATCTATTATCTGCATTGAAAAGGAATCTCCACATTTTAGAAATTGTACATCTGGGCAAATAAGTTAAAACAGAATTGATAATGAAACCAGGAAATTTAGGAATAGACTGCACTTAATAAGATTTTTTTTAGATTTAGGCAAGGATTTTTTTGTGTGTTTTGGTGGTTTTTTTTGGTTTTGTTTTTTGTTTTGTTTTTTGGGTTTTTTTATCTCTTTGTTTGCAGGATATGCATCTTAAAAGCAGTGGTTTGTCCAGTGTACAAAGTCTTCATTTGCCACGGTGTCACAGGACCAGAAGTCCCTTCACAACCTAAGCCCTGAAAGCCCAGACTGATAACCCTTTTCTGCAGCAGGCTGAGGATCCCTTCCATAGGCTAGGATCCTAGTACCCCAAAGGTACATTTAAAGTTCTAAAAGTCCCAACACTGGAGCAATACTCTTAGAACTCTCTGAACTGCTGTATATTTTATGCAGAAGCCCAGAATTTTTTCTCAGAGTTATTTGATTTCTCCCATTTCTTTACAATGTGAGATGGAAAACATGCTGCATAGGCAGGAAGGTACCTTATCCTTCCCATTCCCTGCAATTCCACCAACAAACACAGAGTGAAAAGTAAACCAAATGAGACTTAAAAAGTAAATAAAGAACATTCTAGATTTTGCTTCATACATTAATGTTAATATTATTATTGTAACTATGATTAATACTGAAGCAGCAAACAATGGTATAAATTACTTTGCTCAATTCAGAACGTGCCTCCAGGGCAAAGTAATCATTAGACTCAAGGAATCCTTGTTCTAGTGAAGCAAACAATATTAATTATCTTTAGATATGCACAGTTTAATTTCATTATCTCTAGAAAATTGCAAGAAGTGTGTCAAGAAATCTTCAGGATATTTAGACATAATTTTGAAATTATGCAGGCATGAAAATAAAGTTGTTTTTTATTTCATAAAGGCCCTGCCTGCTATTTGAGTTTATGGCTTAAGTTTGAAGGGTTCTTCAAGTTGTAATTCCATTGAGAAAAATGAATATTAGTAATATCTTGCAAAAAAATATACAGCTGGAGATTATTAAAACAGCATCCATACCAGAAAGAGATCATACAGTTTCTAGGGTTTGAATTTTTAGGATAATATTTCTGAATACAGATTCTTTCCAGTATAATAATTAAATTATTTAGAAATGCTTTTCCAGCCCCCTCTTTTCAAACAGCTTTTTTTCACTGCTTTTACTGGGGAAAGTTTAAAGACATGTTCATTCAATTACAATATGCTATGTGTTTTTCAAAATAATTTGTACTCTGTTACTCTCTTCTCCAAAAGATAGTTGTTTACATGGGTGTTACACAGCAGCACAATGTAGTCAGTCATCCCAGGTATGAAGATATACAATTGGTGATATACAATTGTTTAATGCAAAATGAGCACAGTACTAACATCCAAAGGTAAGAAGAAAGGACAATTTTTTCCAAATTCATGTCTGACAATTTATTAAGGATGGAAATGTGATTTAGAGTGTCTTTAAAATACAAGATAAAACAACATGCATAAATCCCTCCTATTATGCAATATTCAGCTGCACTGGTATGGAGTGTGTGCTAATAGATATGTGTTAAATCCAGAAGCCCAAAGAACCCTCACCTGTTCAGGGAGCAGCTCCCTGCAGAGAGGTTGGAAGGTGATGAACTTCCTGGCTAACAGACAGGCATCAATAAACCCTACAGCAGCCAACATCATTTCAGAGACCAGTTCAATGTCAGGGACAACCATGGCACAGGTTCTAGGGAAGGAAAAAACCCATAATCCAAATGCACAGATTAGTATTTAAACATGGTGAGAATAAGTCAGCTAAATCAAATATCTGATGTGTGCAAACATTTTTAAAAACAGAGCTCAAGAGAGTCACAATTAAGAGTGTCAATCAAAGCTGACAAGGACCCTAGTTCAAAGCAAAATGAGTTAATTAGGCACTGGTGATTGTTAATATTCCATAACATTGCTGCACAAAAGAGGCATCTGAGAAACACAGACAGGTACTGCCCAAACTCAGAGCAGGCACAGGCTGCAGTGGTGGCACTTGCCACTGATCAAGGGGGCACAGCCAGCAGCTGTGCAGGGTCTGGAAGCCAAGTGCAACACAACCATTGCTAAAAATGCCAGCCTTCTTTAAAGTTTTTTTTTTTTTGAGAGCTTTAGTGCTTTTATATGAAGGCTTGGTTGCCTTTAGAGGTTTTGCTGTTTCTTTTCTAAATATAACTGCTCAAATTTTTAGAAATAACACCCAGAAATTTTAATGACATGAATGAAAAATATCTCATTAAATCTCATTTTTAAATGAACATGAAGTAATAATGTTGTTGCTAAACAATTTCACAATTTCCTCTTTAAAAATCATTACTTAATTTACATATGAGCAAAAAGGAGATCTTGAATTTCGTGTTCAAGCCAGCTACAAACCAGCATATTTGTACCTCAGAACTCTTTCTTATTACCGAAAAAAGCCCAAATATTTCTTCTTTTTCCCCATCCAGAAATATACTGCTGAACTAAATGAGACCAGTTTTAATTTTGTCATATTTGAGTGGGGAACTTCTCATGTAGTTTTGTCTGACCTGTATATCCAGGGATCAGAGTAATAAATATTCCAACTCTGGATTTCAGTGTCATGAAATACAAATCTGTTAAAAAAAATAACACAAAGAAGTGTTAAAAGAAAGATACTACTTACAAAAGAAGAAAACTCACTAGACCTCGGCAAGCAGAGGTATTTTAGCTTTTAGTAATCTGTCTAGCACTGAATTCAGAAGGAAAGCACTGGACTATTAGAGCCACAGAGAGAGCATGTGGCTGAAGCATGTCTATAGGAAGAATCACCTTTGGAAGCACAGAATAAAGGAGACTAGTAGGGATGCAGAGGGTTCGAAAAGGCCAGGAGACAATATTGAGTGAAAAAAACCCAAAACTTCTTTTTCTTGAAAGCAGCAGTTTCCAGTATAATTCACGTGAAAAAGAAGCTAAACAACAATCTCCATACTGCTTAACAGAACATCTCACCTCATCATCCATGTATGCTGAATAGTCGAAAATTTTCACCATCATACCAAGGGTACAGCCTAAATATTCCATGGTCTCTGTCTTCTCTGTGCCAGCTGCTCCTGCAGGGGCACCACTCACTGCTAGGTGGAGAGCCTGGGTTGGAGTAATAGAACACCTTAACATATGAAAAAAGATCTTTTGGGTTGCAATGAACTTCCACAATATTGGAAACTTTTTTATAACTCTTATGTTTCATGGATGATTTATTCCAAGTCCACTTTCTCATTACAATGTAATGTCCTAAACCACCAATGTATTTTTTCCATATTCATGTAAAATCATGGTGTGGTACTACTTGGAAAATGCTTATTTTAGAAAAGAAAACTAACTACATCAACATTTTTTATCAAGAAGGGAGATCCTATCAGTGATCACAGAGGACGGGAAATAGGAGGCTGTAGTTGCTGCTTTGCTTATTTCAAAGACTTGAATTTGACCTCCCATCTGAGGGTTGAAAGCATTAAGCTAGCCAAGATGCTTGAGTGCATCTTTTTTGATCACTTATTTTAACAAGAAATTGGAGCCAAAACATGCCCAGAAGAAAAAGTTTCACTGTACGTGGTATAAAAAAAATAGTAGTTTGGACTTTCACAAATGAAAAAAAAAATTGCTGAAAAATCCTGATTAACCTTGGCAAAGATCTGCTCATATTCCCCTTGAGACTAGACAATGAATATGTTAGCTTAAGTTATGCAAAAAATATTTCAGTTTTTATAAATGTAGTGGCCATTAAAATCATACCATTTCTTAAGTATGTGCACCTACATGCACATAGATTCTGAAATATATTGTGTCTTGATAACCTCATAATATACCTATGAGGTAGGAAAGAACTCTAAACTTCTAAGAAACATTTAACTTTTAATTCCTGAAACAGATAAAGCAGGCACTGTTATTTATAGCAGTCATTACCTGTCAGTCAAAGGTGTAATAACTTGCCAAGGGGTATTTCCCAAGTACTCATAAAAGTACTGAAACTGAACATCACAAATGTTGGCAAAACTGTTTCTGGACATCATCCCATCTGTGGCATACCTGTGACAGCAAGCAAAAGCTCTGGAACTGGAGACCTAAGAGCCATCAAAGAGCCATGATGCCACGTAGGAGCTATTCAGGTGGTACAAATGCCACCCATCACAAAGCTGCAGCTGTAATCAGCAGGTCTCACAACTCATTCCTAGCCACTTATGACTCATAACTACCTCAATCTATTATAAAGGATTAGATGCACCTCGAGGCATTTGTGCTTTTATACAGATGCAAGTTTAATAGAAGATAATTTTAATAGAGCTATTACAGCAGAACACAAGGGCTCTCCATACAAACAATGCAGTCTTTGCGAGGGAGCTATATTACTTTGACCACAATGAGTTTCATTTTACTCCTCAAGCCTTGTTTCCTCTTATCTGAATACCACTTTAAAAGCCAATTTTATTTCTGAGGCTTAGGGGGAAAATAAGAATTCTTTCCTATTTCAATTCCAATCCAGTGAACCATTTTGGACATTCAAACCAACAGCATTAGTTTTACCTGATTTAAAGTTGTACATAGAGTAAGCACTTTGGTTTAAATAAACATGCAATATTTCAGTTGTCTGCACATACAAAAAGTCACCACAGGAAGAGGAGATGCTGTGGAAGTGCACATGCCTCTGAAAGGAGAGCAAAACCCTGTGAGTTGCTGAAGGCAGAACAAATTGTGAATGCAAAATACAGCTGATTCAAACATGCATCCTCTGGGCTTGAAGGCTTGCTGATACCTCTCTGCCATGAACATCTTTGGTACAAATGGCCATGATTTCTTCATGATCACCCGAGGAAAATTCTCCAAGCAGCATGGTAATAAAGAGCATTTAGCTCAGTGACCTGAAAAGATTTAGGCAACCCTCTAAAACCAGATGGCTTCCAGTACTGCTACCATTATTATTACTAGAAATTAGTTCTGCCTACATTATGAACTAATTCACCATAAAAACTGGCTTGTACATACGAATTTTCTGATATTCAACATGAGATGCCAGAAGAAATCCTGGTTTAAACAGAAATTTGAACCATCTCCAAAACAACAACAATCCAGGTGAGCACAAATGCTGCAGATGGCCAGCTAGGCAGGGTAGGAGGAATGGATGGATAAGAAGTTGTACATGAAATGGAATTGAAAATTCTGTGGTTATAATCTCCATAGAGATATGTGCCAGACTTTATGAAATTGTACTAATTGTACAAGAACATTTATTGGCAAACCAAAAATAGTCCTTAGGAAAGATCAGAGACATTTTAAAAATAGACAAAGCAATAAGGGGATGAATACAAAATACGATATAAATGACTATACAGAGTTATGTAATACAAAGTGACTATGGAGTTTTTCAGGTTTCATATTAAAAGGGGAAGAAACCGCAATGTCAGCTAATGCATGTAATTCAAAGGAGGTAAATGTAAAAATACATGGAAATATCAATAGAAAGATGTAATGCATTTTCTATTACAGGGAAAATTTAGACAGGTCAGATATTCACCTTTAAAGTCTCTTTCCTATTTTGTATTTCTCTTCAGCAGATATTCTATGTCGGAAAACAAAACCAAAACTACTGAAAGTTTTCACAAAGAGAAAGAGTACTCACACCAGGAGAAAAACACTTAGGAGAAATTTGAGGTAAAAATGGGTAAAGCAAAAAATCAAATGGCACAAGGTATCCATCAGAAATGGGACTAAAACCAAACATAGATGTAAACTGCTTGGTTAGACATAAACAAACCCTATAGTTTTGGCTTCTTTACATTAATATATGGGTATATATGTATTGAATTATATGTATACATACTGAATGTGTACTCTGTTCTTAGCACACCATTGTGGCACTATGTTCACTTTTAGCTTTTGTCTCAGTTCAGAATAATCCTACAAAACCCCAGTAATTAAGATGTGATGCCCTTGAGGTAGCAGAAATTGAAGAAAAAGCCATGTTTCTTTTTTCAGTAGATGCTGTATTGCTTAATATGTTATAGTAATATGTTCATATGTTCAACATTTAATACGTAAACTATACTAATATGACTATTTTCATGCTATATTTACTTTCTGTGAATGAAACAAAAAGGAGATGTCCAAACCTGCTTCTTGTGGCAGCCCTTCAGGGCTGCTGCCAAGCTCTCTTTCAGCCTACCAGATGCCATTTCTACATCTAAAACCCATAAGGTTTGTGAAATACTAAGCTCAGCCTGGGCTGGGTGGTCAAAAACTCACTGTTCTCTCTGCCTCTCTTCATGGGCCAGTGTGGCCTCCATGGAGCAGAGATGTACTGCACTGTATACAGTTTCCTCAAGGTGTAGCTACCAAGACTCCACCTTTTGAAGCAAAAACACCCCCAAGCATGCATAAATGTATGCACATAACATTAAGGGTATATTTTGTACTAAAAATAAAGGAAGTTCATCTCCTTAATCTTCACAAAGGATTTTTGTTACACCAGTAATTTTTACAAACTTGAAATGAGAGTGGATTTTCCCTCCATTTTCTCTGTCACTGTACCTTCAGGAGGATTTAGATGAGACACTAGATACTGGGTTTTTTTTTACATATCCACTTGATTTGAACACAGACATACTGTCTTAAAGCTCCAAACAAGAAAGTCTTGAGTTTTTGTGCTCACAGCCCCAGAGTAGGCACAGACAATACAGCATTTTCTGTCTCCATGTGCTCAAACATAGTTTTTCCAAGATACAGCTATCTCCCAGAAGCAAGCGGCATATACTTGTCCATTCAGTCTGGGGCCTCCCTGCTGCAACAATCAATCATTAGAAGGACAGGCAACATTGATTTTATGCAATGTGAATGCTTATGCATTCAGCACTGTTCTGAGAACAATAAGTTATTGTCTCAGAAGTTGCTGATCTGCTCTCCCTGACCTACCACTACCCAGTTAGCACACATGCTAGCGGGCCAGTTGGCAAATATGAGGCTCAGAACCAGCGGAAAGGTTCAGCTGAGAGGAGATGTGTGAGACCACTGGAGGTTTGGAGAGGTATGTGCTAAAGGATAAGACAGGAGGGGATCTGAAACTATAACAGAAGATGAAGTAAAAAGAGCAGCAGGAGAGAGAAAGTATGAGAAATGCAATATTCAACCTTGATCAGTTCTGTGACTTTTAGTACTCATATTTTCATTACTTCCAAACAGTAAACTGTCTACACTTCTTTTAAAAACATTTTATGCACAAGAGAAAGATAGACAATTTATTAAATTATAGTAAAGGACACAGTGTTGGGTAGCAAAATGTTCTGGGTTTATTATTATTTATTATTTTTTCCAAATTTATATAACTAAAAGTAACAGTTCATGCAATTGAAAGTGTCTATTTAATCTACATCCCAAAGAGGACAAAATTCATGAAGGAGATTTCACATAACTCAACATATCTGATCATTAGATCTACATTTGTCATGGAACAGAACATGCTCCTTTTCTGGTCTGTATTTCCCAAGGGCAATATTTATATATATCCCTGTATTCTCTTGAAATTTAAGATCAGCAGCATTGTCAAAAAGTTTGGTAAGATGATGGGCTATTTGCATCCAAAAATACCAGATATATAAGGAAACCATTTACATTAGATTTGTGTCAATCACACTAATGCATGCCTCTGTTAAAATGGATGACTCTCTGACTGCTGCATGATTACTACACACAAGGTTTTTATGGGGAAAAGCTGGGCCAAAATGACAAATCAGTGACTGGAGTTAATTACACTTCTGTCAGTTGTCAGAAGAGTCTGAAGGACAGAGCTCAATATAAAACTGAGAAGTCTTGAAATTGTTATTATTTATGGCTAATGCTTATACTACAAATTGCCTTTAAGGTCTAAATGCCTTTTGTAGCTACACATCTCTGTGTGGAATTTGACCGTGGAATTTGAAAATCACTGTCTACACACCAGCATGCTCTAGGCCTGACACCTAAGACAGAAGACTTGTTTGCTGGCCTTATGTGTGGATGAAACAAATCACTGAGATTTAGTTATGTGGAGAATCTATGAGGGCCTACCATCATGTTTGAAAAGGCTCCACGTTCAAGCCTTCATCACCTCTGAAAGCATCAGTTCTTCTGAGTTACAACTCACAGCCCTTCAAAAAAAAGGTTTTGCCTGAGACACACTCAAAGCTGTAGCACTCAGAAAATTGATGGCTGTGGCTGGATAGTAACCAGGCCAGGAGGCCAGGAGTATCATCTGGCATGTAGATAACATAGTATGCTTCTGCATACTATGCATAGAAGCTTCTGAAATACATCAAAGTGCCTGTGCCTTCATACAGCTGGGTGTCACAAAACCTAGGAGATCATTGTTCAATTGAGGAACACAGAAGGATGGCTACAAAACATTCCTCGTGCAAGGGGCAGCAGCTCAGTCAGTAACTGCCTACCACACACCATAGATCTTCCAGTCTTACTTATCATCACTATGCATTGCGTGCCTGAAATTTGATCAATCCATGCTAGAAGAATAGATTTGATGATCTCATTGACCTATAACCCAAAAACCCAAATAAATCATCTTCCATTTGCAGCAAAAACAGATCAGGATTTGTATCATGTCTCTCATCTCTTGCTGAACACCTTATACTCATCTTAGCTGGGAGGAAAAAAAATGTTTCCTACCTTCCTTAGGCAAAATATTCCTGTTTTCAAAGTAAATCAGAAAGTTGCTCAGAACAAAGGTGCAATTCAATGATATTATCAGCTCACAAGGTTAGCTGGAAAACTTCCCTTTCTGTAGAGAAAATGAAGTATATTAATACACAAAGAGGCTCAGCTGTTTTGGCTGTGTTCCTCTTTAAAGGATGTCTAGCAAGTCTGCTGAAAAACCAAAATAGAAGAAAGGAAAAAGAGAGAACTTATGTGCTTGCTTTCTAAGTATACAGCCAAAGCTTCTTCACAAAAAAAGAGTCTTAAAAAGAGACAGAGATTTTAATGATCACCTTAAAGCCAGGAATTCCCTCCCAGTTAAGGTAAAAGTCAG